GTGGTTGTGAACATGTGTCGGTAGTTGTGAACATATGTCGGTGGTTGAACATTTGTCGGTGGTTGAACATGTGTTGGTGGTTGAACATATGTCAGTAGTTGTGAACATATGTCGGTGGTTGAACATGTGTCGGTGATTGAACATATGTCAGTGGTTGAGCATGTCCGTGGTTGAACATGTGTCGGTGGTCGAACATATGTCAGTGGTTGAACATGTCCGTGGTTGAACATGTGTCAGTTGTTGTGAGCATGTCTAGTTATGAACATATGTCGGTGTAGAGCTGGACAATAATTCAATACTGATATATCTCGCAATATACTTTTATTCAATAACGATGATATGAGTTTTAAGCACATTTCCGATATTTCGATAGGATTACAGCGTTTCACTGATGCATGTCTTTTTCTGTTCGGGTTAAAGCGGCCACTTCAGTTTCAACCCGAACAGAAAAAGGTGCGACACAACTACCTAAGTGCGTGGTGACGTAATGTTACGCAGAGCTCATGTCCAGAAGGCGTTAGTGGTAGCAGGCTAAGCTAGGCTAATCTCCAACGCGCGTTAAGTATTCTCTTCAAAATGAGTGCCCATGGTCGTCAGAATGTGACTGAACAAGGTTTCACAAGCGAAGAGAAAGCAGATGACATCACTGATAAGAGAGAAAAGACTAATTTGCTGGTTTGGAAGTGGTTCGGCTTTCTACGATCTGATAAACTGCAGGTTTCAGTCAGTGTGCTGCAAAATGTGACGGAGAGTCGTTCTAACTTGCGGTTGGAGCATCGAACTTGTTCCACTTGACAGAATACGCTGAGTCACAAGATGAAGCACAATAAAAGTTTGAGGAAAGTTTGAATCATTTATTCATTCATTTAAAATAAAACAAATTCATCAGAAAGAAAAAAAAACATTGAATAAAAAGGTTGCAGAAAGAAGAAAAAGATTCTTATCTGCCCCTAATTTAAAAAATACAAAATAACTACAAACAAACAACAACTTTGACTTGAACAATCTCCAAACTGAAAACAAAAAAAACTTCAGGTATCTTTCTCCTGGTCCTATACCTTCCCAACAACTTTAACTATCATCTTTTTAAACATATAAATTGTTTTAGAAATGTTTGTGGTGATATTAAGACAATTCCATAATCCTATTCCCTGAATTACAACACAGCTCCTTCACACTAGTTCTAAATGGAGGTTTTACAACATTTCCATTCCCTGAAGTTATATTGACTCTCCTTTTTTATATTTATTTTTTACAAATTTTAATTGAATATTTGGGGCCAATATTTTTATGAGCTTTATGCATGACTTGTAAAATACTATATTCAACCAAATCATAACATTTTAATAATTTCAATTGATGACATAATATATTTGTTGGGTGACCAAAACACTTCATACTACTAATAATTCTTAGCTCTTTTTTGTAAAAATAAAAATAGGGTTTGTAATTGTTTTGCTTTTCCCCAAACTTCATTACAATAGATTCAATATGGAACAATCATTACATTATACAATATATACAAAGCTTTGTCATTCAAAAACTCTTTTACTTTATACAGTAATGCAACTGATTGTTATTTTTATTTTTAAGTATTTTACATGAGATTTCCATGTCAGCTTCTCATCAATAACGACACCAAAAATGTTATTTCATTAACAACAAATTTCAATGCTGTCAATTTTAAAGTTGTTGCTTAAAGATAAAACTATTAATATTGACAAAGTTGAGAATTTTATGTTTATTTGACAGTGATTTCTTTTTTTTTTTAAGGCTAAATACAAATAAAAGGTGAACATTAATTTATTTGTATAGTTTGTAGTTTTTCTGAGGCTTTTATATTGTTTATATCGATATCAAATTATATCGTTATCGACCGAAATTAAGAAATATATTGTGATAAAAGTTTTGGCCATATCGTCCATCCCTATGTCGGTGGTTGTGAACATGTGTCAGTGGTTGAGCATGTCGGTGGTTGTGAATGCACAGACAAACACACTGGTCGCGGGCAGGGGCGGGCTGGTCTTAGGGAGGTTCTGGAGGATTCCCAACTGGCCGGTCAGTTCCAGGCCTAACCGGTCAGTGGTGATCGGTACGTTTTTTTCTGTTAAAACGCTGCTGCATCTTCATGCACCAGCCCTCTTGGCCACAGGTGGCAGTCAAACATCACATGCAAGCAACCTGTCCCAATTTGAAAACAACAAAATGAAAAAGTAGAGTGGATACTAACAAACGTGCTAAACAGAAAGCGAGAAAGATGGGTGGAGCAGAAAAACTAAGGCAAAAGAAATGAAAAAGTTAGTGCAAGATGCAGCCAAATGCGCTAAAATGGCAGACATTTTTGGGGGTGGTGGGGCCAAAGTGAGCGTGACTAAAGTCAGCCGGGACATTGAGAACCGGACCGAGCAGCATGGATACACCATGTTAACAAGCAGTGCCTACATGGACCTATCATCCATCCCAGAGCTGACATATTGTGTGTTTGGGTTTCTGCATGTGTTCGGGGCTCACAGAACATTAAAGGAAGCCTATCAGTATTATTACACCATAAGTCCATAAATCTTTAATCTACTTTATCAACTAAATTTAAATCAATCCACACTGACTGACCAGACAAAGGTACGTTTCTTTATTGCAAAAGAAACCATTTCAGGAAAGAATCTGTTTTCCTGTTACTACATTAATGTAGAGCTATTTTTTCCAGCTCAAGAAAAATACATTGCAGTGAGTAATTCATTTACTGTGTGTGTCTGTGCTTGTAGTGTTTTTCTTCTGTTGTATGTGTGTTATAAAAAGGGCACTAAAATGTATCATTGTTGCTGTTATTGTTATTACTAGCTGAAAAGGCCAGTGTCAGTGAAGGAGTTGATGCAGAGGAACAGGATAATGCCAGATGTCGGATTGAGGAAGAGGAGGAGGAAGAACAGGAAGGGATAGATGAGGATGGAGGAAGCCACCTCTTATCTCCTCTGCCCTGTGCACACACTCTCCCGTCCGCCTCACGTTGCTCACAGCGTCTGTTTTTGCACTTCAAAGATCAGTCTCAAAGACTTCCTCTGTCTGCTCAGCGCCTTTCACACTGGCTTTGTGAGGCTGTATATTTCCTCTGGATCTCAGCTTCCAGAGGGGCTAGAGCCCACTCAAACAGAGGAATCTCATCCACAGCTCCTAATTGACTGAAGAAAAATATTATTTGGGAGTCTGTTCCCAGTGTCAGCGCAATTTATACAGACCAGGGTGGGGCCCACACAGCAGGTGGGCATGGATTAAAGTTTTCATTGCTGTGCTGCTCGTGAAGGATAAACCATGGGAAAGATTTGTAGGAGTGTGGGAAGGGTGTTAAACCTTAAAATATATATAAATAATAAAATAACTAACGCCGCTACTTTGCAGAATTTCACCTATTGCGGGGGGGTCTCTGGAATGTAATATCCGCGGTAGGTGAGGGATCACTGCACTTTGCTCACTACACATTTAAGACTGTTAATTATTTAATACAAAAGTTCATCTGTGGGTGGAGGGGGGAGAGGTTGTTATGATGCATCAAATATTTGTGGTAGGATGGGGATGTAGGGGGTGGTGGATAATGCTAGGGGAAACACTGAGCTTTCCTGCAGCACCTTTGACACTTGACAACATTCTATTGTTCTGCACAGCTGACAGTCATGCCAGTCTTGTTTTTTCCCTAATAAAACTTAATTGCATTTAGATAAAAGGTGCACAGAAAAGCGCGCATCAGAACTATTAATTTCTAAACATATCCATAATAATGTGGACACAACATAAATGTTTTTTTATTATTTTGATGTTTATTTTTGCCATATTATTTTAATAAGCATTGATTTGAATTACATATTGTACCCAGTGGTATGTACAGTAAACCAAAAAGTTAGCTTCGCTTACCCATATTCTGCTAACTAAAAAAATTACCTTTGCTAATGCTAAACCACTAAACAGACGGAAAAAAAGAAAAGTCAACGTTAAACTGCTAAGACGACTGTCACTCAATCTGCGTCACACGCCTTCCTCTCCTTCCAATTAAAACTGCGTCGACAAATCACGTCTTGTTAAATGTACCCGTAGTAAGCAAATAGCATGCCTTCAACTTGTCACTATTGTGTCGACCAATCATGCCTTGCCACATGTACACAGTAAGCCAATAGTGTGCGTAACAAACTGTTTGAGACGCCCACAATAGAAAAGAGCAAGCTTGTGAATTTTGTTAGCGGACTTCAAGTTGTCAAAATCTGATTTAGCCGAAGCTAATTCCAATAACAGTTTCCATCCATCCATTTTCTTCCGCTTATCTGGGGTCAGGTCGCAGGGGTAGCAGCTTAAGTAGGGAGGCCCAGACTTCCCTCTCCCCAGCCACTTGGGCCAGCTCCTCCGGGGGAATCC